TGCTCCTGCCCTTCTCTGAACCTCATGGTTCATTTAGCCCTCAATCGCTCTTCTTTTATTCTATCCTGGTCCAGGTGAGTTTCTCCAACCAGAACAGGGTCATACTTCTTTTTTTTTTTTTTTACTTCTTAATATAGCTTACCACTTGGCATAGTGTCAAGAGTATGACTGACTTTTTTATTTACTATTTTTTACTAGGACAATAAATTTGGTGTGGAGATGTGTTATCTTGGATATATGGCAATCAGTATAGGCAATGGTATGTGTGTGTGTTCGTGAGGCAGCAGTTGAAAGGAGGATCTAAGTGCAATGCTAGAGTATTTTGGAAACAGTGAGTCATTTATATGTTGGAGTAACACTAATTGAATGCAATGGAAAGCTGGCGCATTCCCTAAGTTTCTGAAAACCTGATAGAAAATCTTACTCTGCTAATCAAGAAACTGAGACATGAGATTAATCAAAAAATACTTCTTTGTTTTCTTTTTTTAAATATATTTTTATTTATTTCAGAGAGGAAGGGAGGGGGAGAGATATATAAAAACATCAATGATGAGAGGGAATCATCCATCAACTGCCTCCTGCATGTCCCACACTGGGAACTGAGCCTGAATCTGCAACCTGGGCATATGACCTGACCTGGAATAGAATTGTGACCTCCTGAGCCAGACCAGCTATCGGAATTAAGAGAATTCTTACACTATTTTAACACCAGGAAGCAACAATAAGGAACTGATCAAGCTGCAGCTTGTACTCAAAATAGCTTAGAAAATATTATAAATGCTTCTGTTTGCAGCATTTTACACAATGGGTAGGTTTCATAGATATTTTTGCTATTTATGGACAGCAAATGATATCTAGTATTGTTCCTAAATAATTAACCAACAAGTGTCATTTATAGCAGGGAGCAAATGAAGAAGATATTAACATTCAGGATACACAGAACAGAAAGTACAGGGATCTTTAATTCATGGGTGAACAAAAATGGAAGCAACATGTTGAACATCACATTTTTTTTATATAAAACGGTTTCAGGGTCATATATTATTAAGCTGATACATAGTCGCAGAGTTTCTGCTCAATTCTCTAGGCCCCACCAGCCTCCCATGCATCTTTAAGCAACATATGTATGCTATGCTATGAAAATAGTTGGTATAGACAAGGTCAGCTAAGAGGAGCCCCCCCCCCCACCACACACACACACACACACACACACACACACACACACACACACAATTTATTGAGCTAATTAAATTGTATCTGTTTTATTGGTAGACAGATTCTCCTATTTCAGCAGAAAAAGGTTAGTAATTTCTGATTACATGTATTTGAGAATTATTTCCACATTTATATCTAATGCCCCTCTAAGAGGATTTCATGCCTGTTCTCCCAGTGAAATGTTCTATTCTGCAGGATTTGTACCAGAGATAATAATAGGATTAATTTGCAGAGTATTTAAAAATTCATCACAGCATTTTCACATCTGTTCTCTCTTTTGATCCTTTCAGCAGTCTTGTAAGATGGGTTAAGTGTGTGTTCTATTCCCTTTGGACAAAAGAGGACATTGAGGCGCTGAGGGGTTAGGTGATTGGTTAGAGGACAGGTCCTAAGTGAGTAACAGACCTAGAAGTTGTGTTCTGTGCCTCCCAGGTTTTGTGCTCTCAGATCAGAAAGACCATTTCTGAACATAGACACAGAATTACATACCCCTACATTTGGGTGCAAAGCAAAATCAAACAAGGAGCCCATTAAAATGGTAATGCTGGAGCCCCACGTCTGGGAACTCCAATTCAGCTCAGATTCGAGGCCCAGGACATCTATTTGTAATAGAACGCTTATGTGGCTTTGAGTCTAGTTAACCAACATGATTGGACATTCACTCATTCATTCATCCAGGACTGTTCCCTGTGAATTTCACCTTCATGTACTTGGCCTGTTTTCCTCATAGGTTGTTGGGGTTTTTCAAATGTATTAACCTTTTCTCTATGGTGTAGTTATTGCTGAAGATGTCAAAGTTATTGTTGTTTCCTTATGACTGACATAGAGAAAACCCTACTCCAGTCCAAATTTTAAAAAAATTCAAAGATTATGAAGCTATTTCATTTCTTACAACAAAATAAAATCCATATCTAGAAGAGACTTTGTAAATGGATAATAAACATGAGATACTATGGCTCATAAATACAAAGGAAGGAAACAAGATACTATTTTTTTACTTTAAAATGTATGAAAGGTAGAAAAATGTGATGTGACATCTGTGAGAATGAGTGGAAATGGGCACTTTATGTAATGTTGGGAGAGAGTTATGGGAACAATGTCTCCGGTGGTGAGATCGGCACTATTTCTCAAAAGTAAAAATGTATGTTCTCTTTGATATAGCAGTACTACCTCCCAGAATTACATAAATCTGTGCAGCAAGGGTGTTTAAGAATAGACATTGCAACAGTGTATGTAACAGAAATAAATGGAGGACATAAATGCTTCCTTAGAGGGAACTAGTTAAATAAATTATGGTACATGCATAAAAAAATTATGCATTCATGAAAATAATAATACTTCTGTGTGCTAATATGCCATGGTCTTCAAGGTACATTAGGGCTATTAAATCTTAATTAAGGTAAAATTATATATGTTACTATTTGAGTATGAAAAGGTGTATAAAGGTAAAATGTGTATGTCTATGCTTGTATACACATAGATATTTCTTTAAGGATAAAGAGACTATTAACTGTCACACATTTGGGAAGGAAAACTGAAAATTTGAGGTAAAAAGAAAATTAATTTTATATATACTTTATACCACTTAAATATCTTGGAATGTGTATTTGTTATTTTTTAATACTCAATAGGTAATTGAAAATAATTTTAGTGCTTAAAATAATTGTCAAATAAAATGAACTGTAAGTTGTAAAATATATCTTCACTTTATTTTAGTTAGCACTTTTATTATGGTTTTAATAATATAAAACTAATGTAACAAATCCATTTATATTTTCTTAAATATTACATATATTTCTATGATGATTATGTCATTTGTATTTGAAAACTAATTATATGTTTGGGAAACATCACTTAGTAATTTCAGTCCATAATTCTCTAGTTTATCCATATCACCTATCAGATTTTGACAGAGAAATAGGGTTTTCAAAATTAGAGAATGTCAGAACAACAAAGGGCTTCAGACATTTTCAGAGACAAAGAAAATTGAGACCAAGTCGATTTGTGTCTCCTGTGCTTGTACATTTGACTCACATAGCAAAATTTAGGATTAACCTCAAGTAAAATTTAATACTAAGTAAATTGATACAGTGAGAGTCAGAGAACATGAATTATTCAAAACATTTTGTTAGCTGGCTGTCCATCCATGGACAAGTCTCCTTTGCTCTCTAGGCTCAAGTTCTTACAACCTTGCAATGCTTGGTGGATCCCAAGGAAGCTGTTTGTACCCATTCCATTTGACTGAAAACAATTTAAGAAATTCATGAACTGATTCAGGACCTTATTAACTTTATTACTTTCTCTAGTTTTCCAAAATTTCTGGATCTGTGTAAATGTTCTCATTCAAAAGACAAGTCACGTTAAATCAAATGAACATTTGTTTAAACAATTACTCTGAGCAGAATATTTTAGTAGTTCTTATAAACCCTTTCCCGGGTGAAGAACTCACATCTTTGCCTCATGGTTCAAATACAGCTCAAGTTCATGTGAATCTTTCTTTCTTTGATTATTTATCTCACAAATTATCCAATTCACAATTTGTTCTTGTGGTGCTCTATTTTATTGTTTAGGGTGGCTTGTTCCACAGGCAGAGTCTAAACTTTATATTTCCCATTGCATGAACCTAATTAGCTCTTGTGACTTTAACAATAAATCCAGAATAATAGTGAGTGAAAACAGATATTTCAGACTGAGAGAAACTTTTTAGATCACAATTTAAACCTAATATTGACTTTTCAGTTGCCAGAACTACTTTTTAGTAGTTCAGGGGGATGCAATATGAAAACCTAAGACAGCAATATCCCCAGGATGAGACACTGATATATTGTGGAAGGTGATTCTGTCTCCTGCAGAGAGAAGAGGAAGGAGCAATGGACAGAATGTAAAAATAGACTCATGACTCAGCATCATGATCTCTCTGTTTGTGCCCCTCAAAGAGAGAAATCTAAGAATATACAAATAAGGGCTGGAAGAGGTTAAAGGGAGGGGAGGGAGAGGAAGACCTATGTAATACTTTCAACAGTAAAGATTAAAAGGAAAAAAAAACACACATGAATACCCATATATATAAATGGTCTGCAATTATCTAATAACTTCCTTCTATCACAGGGGTATCAATGTTAAATGCTAATGTGTTTCCAAAATTTTGAGGGAAATTTTATTTCTTCTATGTTTTAATGTTTGGGGTATACAAATTTAGATCTATTTTCCTAAAATTAAGTAATTAAATAGAACACTATTAAAAGTATATAATTTCTATATATAAAATCCTACCATTATGTCAGTGAATCTGCTATTTAACATATCTCCCCTGAGATCTCTTAAATCTTCTATGACTAAAGATCAATGCTCTGAACAATTTAAAACATTATTTTTATAATGGTACCAGAGGCCCAATGCATGAAAATTTATGCAAGAGTCAGCCTTCCTCCCCTTGGCTGCCAGCACCGGCTTTCCTCCGGCACCCGGGACCCGGGCTGGCTTCCTCCAGGCTGCCCACAGGCAGCTGGGAGCCAGGGCCCAGGCTGGCTTTCCTCTGGTCCGTCTTTGTCAGGAAGGATGTCCGGAAGATATCTGGTCTAATTAGCATATTACACTTTTATTATTATAGATATTTAGACCTCATAGTGCTACTCTACTGAAAAACCCACAGAAACACTTTTAGACACTGTCTACCCAAACACTTAAGTCTCATAATTTGTCTGCTTTTGACGTGTTATTTTATTAGTGGTGTGTGTTGGCTTCACTGTCTCAAACTGTATCCCAATTTTGTTCTTTGCTTGCAGGCAGAGTTCACAGCCATGCGGGAGCAGTACATGCGAGGTGGGGAGGGCTTCATTGTCTGCTACTCTGTCACCGACCGCCAGTCATTCCAGGAGGCTGCCAAGTTTAAAGAGCTCATTTTTCAGGTCCGTCACACCTACGAAATACCCCTGGTGCTGGTGGGCAACAAAATTGACCTGGACCAGTTCCGCCAGGTGAGTGCCAATTTTATCCGTTAGCTTCTGTCTTTTCCTCCTTGGACACATAGTACCAAGTATGGCTGCTTTCCAAGGTTCATATGGAGAATTCTGAGGAAGAAGTGATGCACATGATTTTTCTAAGAAATCTTGGAGGTTCTGTGGTATTTTGTGCTAGCCACCACAATATGTCCCATCTCCCATGTGACTTTGCTGTGTCCTTACCACTCATTCCCCCATCAGGAGGCTTCTTCTCCCAGCCTCTTGGATCTGGGCTGGTCCTGTGATTTATTTTAAGCAGTATAGTATAGTATAACTTCTAAGGTTGAGCCTCAAGAGTGAAGTTCTTCCTTTGCCACTTGAAACACCTGCTATTAGGGTCGAGCTGCCATTTAAAAAGACCACGCTAACCACTGGAGAGAGCCAGAAAGCAACATCCAGTCTCATGGCTGTCCCTGCCAAGGTACCAGATCCATGGCATGACCATTGTGCATGTGCCAGCACCAACCACTATCTGACTGTTACCTCATCAGATACCCTATCTGATGGAACAGGAAAACCTCCCAGCTGAGCCTTGCCTGGATTTCTGACCTCCAGAATCCTGGGCAAATAACATGGAATTGTTTAAATCACCATGTTTGGGATTTTTTATTGTTTCATGAAAAATTGAGCAAAACAGAACCCTTGCCACCTTCCAGAATCAGAACAAGCAACAGCATCTCAGGTTGAATAAGAAATGAATCTGCTTCAAGTTGCCCCAGCTATATCACCGTGATCCCCAGAGAGTCTCACAATTTCTCCAAGCAAACAAAACTGATAACGCAGAAACCATGTCTAGTTTAGACTGAGATCCATTACCGGAGTTCATGTGGCGCATCAGTTTATTCTAATGTCATCAGACACTATCAGGGCCTAATGGGCAAACCATGATGGCCTCATCTCAGATGTCTACTGAGTAATACTTCAGCTGTCCTTAGGACTCCTGAAGAGACTAAAAAACAAAAACCTAGTTCAGACAAACCATTTCACAATTTCATTGCCATGACTCACTTTGTGCAGTTACATTACGGAACAGTTACATGCAAATCAAATTTTTGTAAGTCCAATTCTCTAAATCGAGTGGCTTAGTTATAATCTGAGATGCTTCAACTTTATTTGCATTGACTTTAAAATTGAACTGGTTTATGTTAGATGTCTTAAAGTAGCCTGCTAATAAGGCTTTTGCTAAGGTGAGAATCTCCGCTAAAGGAATTCGTTTTCTCCTACATTAAGTATTTTTACATTTGGATTTTTGTATCTAAGGCATTTTAAGTTAAAGTGAGAAGTTATCGTATGGAGCTAATGTCTATGACATTATGCCTAACATAGAAAAGTATTCCCGTGATTTCCTGCAATGCATTTTTGTGATGACTTTTTTTGGTATATTTTACTTGGAAGCCTAAGCATCTTAAAGTGGAGGCTAACTGCTTTTTAGGAGCTCTGATATTTGTTTGATTCCTCTGCACCTGTTCTTCTGTCTTGCTTTATTGCTTTCTCTTTCTCCAAGCAATGTTTAGCGTCATATGGTTACATTACTACAGGATAGAAATTCAAGTTTTTCTCACTAGCTAAATATGAATCTATTCTCAGACACTTGACAGAAAGGAAGCAGAGAGATATAGGTCTAGTGGTGAAAGCTTCAGGTACTCCTCTGAAGGGAAGGGGTGTTTTACTATTTCTTTAGGAATTCTGGGAGTGGCATGAGGGAGCACCCTGAGTTGCAGGTGTACCATCAGTGATCACATGACCACTGTTATTGCATTACCCAGAATTCCTAGAGAATATAAACCTTTAATTGGATGTCAGTCAAGAGAGCTGTAACTGAGAAAGCAAGTGAATTTGAGAACATAAGGAAAACTTCTTCCAGCAAAAGTTAATCAGGTTAATTTCTAGAATGATTATTCTCCATGATTCCAACACTGGCTGGCATTGGCTTTCACCTCACTCCCCTGGCCTTACTCCTACTTTCCTAGGCTTAGCAGTGGTCATTTGCATGTCCCAAAGGGATATTTAAGAGGACCCCTATCTCAGCCCGGTTAATTACATTTTAGCAGTGATGTGAATCCCCAGCATCACAAATATCACTGAAACAAATACCAAAAAATATACTGAGTAATTTTGCAGATTTGATAGACTTTTCCTTTTAGATTGAAAAAAGTAAACAAGGTAGTCACAGAAAGTGCAATAACCATGAAAACTCAAATTATAATCTTTTTAAAAATGTTCATGTACCCAGGTCTCCAGTAATGATGTGTTGCTATGCAAATTTGGCTTCTGGCTGTGGTGTTTGTGCTGGAAATAATTATTCCTATGATTGTTTTGTGGTTTTCCTTTTCAAAATGCTTTCACTGCACACTTTAGTTGAATTGTAGAACTGCCCTGTGTAGTTTTGAGACAAGCATATGATGGATAATGGAGACATTTGAAATGTTATTGACAGAAATTGATTTTAAGAAACTATTGCTGTTTGTAACAAAATTAAGACTACACTCCAGATCATGCATACCTCTTTTAGTACATCAGTATTTAAAGGTGAGGTGCGTTGTTTTTTCATCTAAAAACAAAAGCAAAGATGCTGACACTTGCTTCATCTCTCGCCCAAAAGACTTTTGTGAAGATTCCTAGACTAACAAATTTTAACTCTCACAGAGCCTGGGGGAAATCATTCTGGTTTTGGTTTAGGGCTGGGATCCAGAGTAGTGGGATCCCAACCCAGCAGCTCTTCCTTCTCCTGGTCTACATTGAAAGAAATGGAAATAAAAGCCATTTCTTACCATGTTTGCTTGGTATAGTAGGTATGGCTGCATTCCTAGTGCATTTTAGTGAATACTCATTCCCTTTCTAACAAAAAAATAAATGAGTCTCAGTGCCTGATGTTTTTATATTATCATCATTTGCCAATCTGAGCTGAAATATTGAAGGGCTCTGTTTAAAGGTTAGTATTTTATCAGAGAGCAATATTCATGTTGACACTGACAATGCTGATGGTACATTTAGTGGTTGGAAGGCTCTGTGACAGGCACTTACCACACATAATTGTATGTATTCCTTTCCACAAGCCCATGAAAAGACTCCTGCATGATACCTGAATTAACTGACTCTTTAATGCATCCAGTAACCTGGTCAAGGTAACAGGGCTAGTTAGAGTTGAGAGGCACTACCCAGTGTTCTGATTGGAAAATCTCGTAATATTATAATGTTGGCTTGCAAACCATTGTTATTTTTCATCAGTTAGTTGTTGTTGTTGTTTTATCAGCTTTAGGATCTTAGCATGTTCCTCAGAGAATGGGACATGAGCAATTGCATTCTACTGTCAGGTTGAATCAGGAAGGATCAGAATGATAACTGTTTGGATGTGGATTGTGGAATTCCAGGATATGGGCAAGTCAGAAGTTGGGGAGGGGGGGGGCAAGAATGTGAAGAAAAGTAAGAGTAAAGAAATGAGGGTCAATTCCACTGAAGAGCACTGTTTGCTAATCAACTAAATAATGTGTCCACAGTCCACCCAGTCTATTTTAAAGCCTTTTTTTTTAAAGTCCCAGACAACATCAGGTCCCTGAGCTTCCAAGTCTTTGTCCCTACTATTGTTTTCTGCAGTCACCTGGGAAGTGGAAGGGAATAATTCCAGTTTTTGGTTTTGCAAAAACCCTGACCAACTGTGCAAGTAAAAATGATGCTCATAATGAAATGGGTTCCAGGGATTTGGGAGATAGATTAGCAAAGTTTGACATCAGTTCCAGACCACAAACTGTTCTATCCTGAGGTGCATCATGACAAAACCCTCAGTACTGACAGTCTACTGGTGATTGCAGCTTAATACTCAGCTTGAAGCTTAGAATATCTGCTTTGCACAGCCTGAGTAACTCTTCGAATGCTGATTGTGGATTGTGAAAAGGCCTCTGTTTATTCTTCACTGAAATAACTAGTAAAAATAGTTCCATTCCTGTACTGAGAGGGGCCTATGGAAGCTGTGTGGATCAAGAATCACAGTATTAAGAAAAAACACCTATTTATAATTATATGAAGCATTTACTTATCCTTGCAGAGTAGTGGCAGATTTGGAGCAAGGTGATGGAATGAGTAAGCCAATCTTTCTCCTCAAGGACTTTCATTCTCCTCAGAAAGGATCTATACATAGGAATAGGGCAGAAAACCATACTAAACAATAAAATAAAACGTTGAACAATGTGGCATTGTGCATTGAATGCAATTGTTGTTGAGAACTAGAATAGATGATGTGGGCAGCATTTTTTGAGGAAGGATGATGCCAAGTGGCGAGGCATCCTGACTAGGCAGGAAGGATCCAGTGAATGCTGCTACTTCTTTTAGGAAGGACCAGCAAGAGTAAATCTAAAGAGTAGGAAATGGATTGTGGGGCTATGAGTCTGCACAAGCCATGAATGCTAGGGAAGGAGGGCAGTGGGTAAAATTGCTTAAATTGAGCTCATCAGTTTTCAAACTAATCACTTAAAAGATCTTCCCTAAAGAAAACAAACACCAAGTGGGCAACATTTTTCATGTTTCTGTTGTCTTAGCAAAGATTTCAGCTCTCCATGCCCTTTCCTAGGTATCCTGCCCTGGCCTAATTCTCATGTTTGAGAGAATTTTCCTCAACTCTCAGTCAGGCTCTGTACATAATAAATCAGTGTCAGTGTGTGTGTGTGTGTGTGTGTGTGTGTGTGTGTGTGTGTGTCTGCGCACGCGCACACACACATAGTTATAGGTATAGGAAATGAGAGACCAAGGCAATTCTGTAAATCCAAAAGAATAATACCAAGCCCTGCCAGTGTGGCTCAGTGGTTGAGTGTCGACCTATGAACTAAGAAGTCACAGTTCGATTCCTGTCGGCATATGCCTGAGTTATGGGCTCAATCCCCAGTGTGGAGCATGCAGGAGGCAGATGATCAATGATTCTCCCTCTTCACTGATGTTTTTCTCTCTCTCTCCTTCTCTCTTACTCTCTAAAATCAATAAAAATA